CAACCAACGACCACATCGGCATCGACGTCAACTCCGTCGTATCTGTGACGAACGAGTCCCTACCAAACTTCAGCCTCATCGGGAACATGACCGCCACCGTCGACTACAACAACAATTCGAGAATACTGTCAGTTAAGCTATGGATAAATGGCTCGACGACGCCTTACACCCTTAGCTCCATGGTTGATCTCAAGAGAGCCTTGCCGGAGAACATCACCGTCGGCTTCTCGGCATCAATTGGCTCAGCCTATGAGCAGCATCAGCTGACTTCTTGGTACTTCAAGTCGAGTTCGTCGTTCGAGCAGAAGCTGGCAGCAAAAGTAGCATCTCCGCCGCCGCCGTCGTCACCGTCACCACCACCGCCTTCCCTGACCCCGATAACGTCGCATTCCAGACGTGGCGGAGTTGTAGCGGGAGCCACAGTTGGTGCGGTAATGTTTGTCATTCTCCTCTTCGCCATGGTAGCAGTCCTTGTACGACGACGTCAGAGCAAGAAAAGGAGGGAGGCAGAGGATGGAGGCTGGCACGGCAGTGACGATGACGACGACGGCGAGCCCATCGTGGAGATTGAGATGGGGATGGGACCAAGGCGGTTCCCGTACCACGAGCTCGTCGACGCTACGAAGAGCTTCGCGACGGAGGAGAAACTTGGACAAGGCGGCTTCGGGGCTGTGTACCGTGGCTACCTGAGAGAGCTTGGCCTCGCGGTTGCCATAAAGAGGTTTGCCAAAGATTCCTCCAAGCAAGGGAGGAAGGAGTATAAGTCGGAGATCAAGGTGATAAGCCGGTTGCGTCACCGCAATCTTGTGCAGCTCATCGGCTGGTGCCATGGCCGTACCGAGCTGCTCCTCGTCTACGAGCTAGTCCCCAACCGTAGCCTCGACGTCCATCTCCACGGCAATGGCACCTTCCTCACATGGCCAATGAGGTTTTTAATTAACTCTCATTAATTTGTCATAATTTCCATTATGTGCAATCAACACCTTTGAAATTCAACTGATCAGCTAGCTTGGATGTTGCCACAGGATCAACATTGTTCATGGACTCGGTTCTGCACTACTCTACCTCCATGAGGAGTGGGATCAATGTGTCGTGCACCGTGACATCAAGCCAAGCAACGTCATGCTGGATGAATCCTTCAATGCAAAGCTAGGCGACTTCGGTCTTGCAAGGCTTATTGACCATGCCGTTGGGGTACAAACAATGACCCACCCCTCAGGGACGCCAGGCTATCTTGATCCTGAATGTGTGATCACAGGTAAAGCAAGCGCTGAGTCTGATGTCTATAGTTTTGGCGTTGTTTTATTGGAAGTGGCATGTGGGAGGAGACCAATGAGCCTACTGGACAACCAGAACAATAGCCTCTTCCGACTGGTGGAATGGGTCTGGGACCTATATGGCCAGGGAGTCGTTCTCAAGGCTGCAGACGAGCGGCTCAACAATGACTATGACGCAACCAGCATGGAGTGTGTCATGGCCGTTGGGCTCTGGTGTGTGCATCCGGACCGATACGCGCGTCCATCTATCAGAGCTGCCATGACGGTCCTCCAATCCAATGGACCACTACCAGTGTTACCATCCAAGATGCCCGTGCCAACATATGCACCGCCTATGGCCTCGTCGGAGGGGCAACTTTCATCATCGACAGGAATGTCATCCTCAAGTTTGACACTAACATCAATCACACCTCGCTAGGGTGGCAAGTTTTCGCACTCATAGGATAAGTATAGCAAGACAACTTTTGTCATATCTAGATTTTGAGTAAATTTCACAAAACTACAGATACTATGACCAAACTATCACAAAACTACAGATTTAAGGAGTTGTATCATAAAACTACACATTTAGCTCCAAATTTATCACAAAACTACACATTTAAGATGAAGTGTCACAAAACTACACGTTTAGTAACTAAATTATAATAAAACTACAGGTTTAGAATCAATTTAATCACAAAGTAATAATGTTTATAGCTCCACCATAACAATAGTGCTAGGGATTTAAACTCTAAAAGTTGTAGTTTTGTGATAAGTTCAATATTAAATATGCATTTTTGTGATAGTTAACCTAAAATCTGTAGTTTTGTGATAAATTTGGTGTTAAATGTGTAGTTTTGTGATACAGCTCTTTAAATCTGTAGTTTTGTGATAATTTGGTCAAAATACCTGTAGTTTTGTGAAATTTACTCCTAGATTTTTATCCATACCAACAAGTCGAACTACTTGCATCCCTACACCTCAAGTTCCTTTCGCATACTTTAGCCGGTTTGAAGGGCTCATCTTCGTTAATTGCTCCGTACAGTAGCCATGTTTAGTTCATTTTACATGTTCTATATTTACAAGTTGCCGCTTGAATAGGATGTACAGCTCATGAGGCAATTGGTTTGCTCTTTAGAGAGCTGCCTAATTGGCAACATGAGTAATTGTGTTCAGTTTACATCATGCTTTCAGTTTTCCAACCATTTAGTTATTTTGTCCAGAAAACTTTTCCTTCAATTTCCTCTCCAACAATCCAACCAAACCGTCCATATCTCTGACTGTTATTCACTACATACTTTTCTTGTTTTAAGTGGATATCCTAGTCCTTAGAGGGTCTGGAATTGTTGGAGTTGCATGAAATTCAGAAACATAAACAAAAAAAAAATGATTGAAGACACCAATAGAAGAGACCTCTTGCAGGACATTTGTTCATTGTTGATAGATCTCATATGATATTCAGCTAATGCTGGCCAACGACCGCATTGATTATCACTTAAACTTTTGTTTTGTCCTAATGCATTCCCTTCTCTGGCTAACACCTAGAATGGTTTCAGTCTAGAAGATCTAAATGTATATAACATGATCACAAAAATCATATAGGTATCACACTACTAAAATTCAGAACAATATATCTCAATTTGCAGAATACTTTTGATACATTATGTTTCATTCATGTTGCTTCTATCGTTGGCTCTCATTTCGTCAAGCAACCAGCGTAATAGAAATAGGTGAATTGGAATTTTCAGTGCAGTTTCGAACTGGTCCCTTTCTCCAAATCTTCATTACCGTGGAAGAACAAAGTCTAAAGTATTGTTTCAACTTTCAAGACAAAATGAGAAAGCTCAATCCGAAAAGTAAAGGCACAAGAAAGAGGAAAAACAACATGCAACACAATGGCGTTAACAAGAGGAACCAAGATAGGTAACACTACCATCACAGGCTTTTCGTCGATAAACAACAGGAACCTAGATATAATTAATAAGCTAAATTTAATAAAATAAATAGAATATAGGCTCTAGCTACTGTAAACAAGAGCACAAAGAGCCTCCAATCATTTTCTACTGAAGCAGTTCTTATGCAATCGTCTCAAATTGTGGATATTTATGTTCAGTACTCCGGTGTTGATTGAACGCGGAATCGAGAACATCGAAGCAAAATTGTTAACACACAAAAATAACAGCAGCCAATTGCCAGATTTAAGACATAAGAGATTCATGCAGCAAGCATATCGTCCAAGATTGACATCTCTGCTACTTCACAGAGTGATCAAGCCAAAATTTGAAAGAGAAGAGTTGGTTCTGATAGGGTCAGCAGTGGCTTTACTGCTGCAATTTCCTCAACAAAATCTGATAGGCTTTTTTACGGTGTTTGCATTCCAAAAAAGGTATAAGATCCAACACTCCTCAATCATAGGTATCATGTAAAAGGTATTTAACTATTGGTATAGGTACTTAAGTACTAAGGATAAAAATATAATTTTACTATTAGAGCAAAAAGGGTAGAATTGTCTCCAAAATTAGAATCGGTACCGCGTAGGTACTCCCGTACGAAGTTAACATTAATTTCCCCGGTACCAGCTTTACATGTTATTATTTGCGTATTTTCTCTTTTATGTGGTTTTCTCTAGATTTGATTTACGTTGTGTTTGAGTTAAGTCGTTTAGTCGGCACTAGCATTACAGGTTCTTAAGTTGCATCATTTTATCTAGAGTTACACCGTTCTTTGATGTTCTCTTTTACGTGTTTTTCTCTAGATTTACGTTGTGTTCTTATAACCTGCACATGTCAATCAGGTCTTGCCTCCTGTCAAATGCTCGACCATGCCAGATCTTCTTCCTCGACCGTGTCTCCTCGTGAGTGCACCTGTTCAAACACTAGAAGAACACCATAGGCGGAGATCTCATTTACTATCCCACAGAAATTCCAGTACCTTATATAAGGAGTTTATAAACTACATAAATAACTAAACAACTGTGTGAATAAGCATAGGATAACTTTTAGATGCGCTAGCTTGCGCCTAGTCATCGACCGGGCTACCTCATCTCCTCTTCAACCCTCAACCATGCAGACGCTTTTTCCTCTGTCTCCTTCCGTTGAACCGTTCAAACCCTAGAACAAGAACGAAGCGAAGGGAGAGAAGAAAGGAGATGCGATCTTTCTGTTTATTTTGGTACAGATCGAATTGATCGCTGCTAAATCAACGGTGTATCCGTGATTTACTTTTTTTTCCTCACGACATACCAATCTGCACAATGATATACTGATCGATGGATATAGGTATTCAATTCATGTATAATGCCCATGTTTTACTAGTTAATTACTCCATTGCCATCATGTTACAATAATTTTGTTTCGTACCTTGCCCCTCTCTTGATTAAGGGTACACGTTGTTCCACCTCCAGATACCTTTAAATACCTCGCAATTGCCGTAAAAGGTCTCGAAAAGTAATTGAAAGCTCATACTGTCAGTAGAGAGTTCACTGTCTTTTTCAACACGGTGACGGTCGTGTGCGTGTATGCTGCAAGCTGGAACTCAGCACTTAATTCGGTCTTCGATCGGTTGTACTAGATGACAACAAAGCTCAAATTTGCGGAGACTAAACTCCACGGCCAAAGGGGAGTCTTTAAAGTCTTTCTGCGATCCGCATCACTCTCCATCGATCGATCAGTGGAGTTGGCACAATATAGTTTCAGATAAGCTGGGCCATTGACTGACCGCTGGGCTCTTGTTCTGCGTCAAACGACTGCATGAGGCAACCCTGAATATCTCTCAAGTCTGAACATTACGATTTACTTACAATTATGCATGTTTCTCCGTCTCTCCGATGGATCATGGAGATTGTAGCAGCATCGTTGATTTTTGGGGTATTGTTCTTTTCAGCTCGACAAAGACAATTATTGTAGTCCAGCTTCCATAGTTCCACATTCACATAGCTCCATCAAAAAGAAGGGTTTTTTTTCCAGGGAGAAGGGGCACCATTCACTGCCAGTGCACTACAAGCAGTGTACGCATTGTGCATCGACTCGTTGCTCCAAGTCAAGCCAGCCGATCAACCCACCTTGCGGCTTGCGCGCCGACGCTGGCTCTGGCCGGCGGCGATGGCCGGCTTTTCGTTGATCACTTGCGCTGCCGGCCTCGTCACCTTCTTCTCCGTCTGCTACATGCAGCCTCCGGCTCCTGTCGCCGCCTTGTCCTTCAACTACCCCACCTTCGCCTCCTCAGACAATCAGAACATCGACATTCAAGGCCAAGCCTCTGTCAGCGTCGGGTATGTCGACATAAGCGCGAACAGTGTGTCGGGCATGGGCAACAGCGCCGGACGGGTGGTGTACGCGCCGCCGGTGCAGCTCTGGGACGCCGCCACCGGCGAGGTGGCCAGCTTCACCACGCGCTTCTCCTTCAACATTATCGCTCCGAGCGATAGAAGCAAAAAGGGCGACGGTATGGCCTTCTTCCTCACCAGCTATCCATCGAGGTTACCAGTGGGCCACGAAGGTGGCGAAAACCTCGGCCTAACGAACCAGACAGTCGGCAACGTCTCGACCGGCCAGAACCGGTTCGTTGCCGTCGAGTTCGACACCTTCGTCAACCCCTTCGACCCTAACACAACCAACGACCACATCGGCATCGACGTCAACTCCGTCGTATCTGTGACGAACGAGTCCCTACCAAACTTCAGCCTCATCGGGAACATGACCGCCACCGTCGACTACAACAACAATTCGAGAATACTGTCAATTAAGCTATGGATAAATGAGACGACGACGCCTTACACCCTCAGCTCCATGGTTGATCTCAAGAGAGCCTTGCCGGAGAACGTCACCGTCGGCTTCTCGGCATCAACGGGCTCAGCCTTTGAGCAGCATCAGCTGACTTCTTGGTACTTCAAGTCGAGTTCGTCGTTCGAGCAGAAGCTGGCAGCAAAAGTAGCATCTCCGCCGCCGCCGTCGTCACCGTCACCACCACCGCCTTCCCTGACCCCGATAACGTCGCATTCCAGACGTGGCGGAGTTGTAGCGGGAGCCACACTTGGTGCGGTAATGTTTGTCATTCTCCTCTTCGCCATGGTAGCAGTCCTTGTACGACGACGTCAGAGCAAGAAAAGGAGGGAGGCAGAGGATGGAGGCTGGCACGGCAGTGACGATGACGACGACGGCGAGCCCATCGTGGAGATTGAGATGGGGATGGGACCAAGGCGGTTCCCGTACCACGAGCTCGTCGACGCTACGAAGAGCTTTGCGCCGGAGGAGAAGCTTGGGCAAGGCGGTTTCGGTGCAGTGTATCGGGGCTACCTCAGAGAGCTTGGCCTCGCCGTCGCCATAAAGAGGTTCGCCAAAAATTCCTCTAAGCAAGGGAGGAAGGAGTACAAGTCAGAGATAAAGGTAATAAGCCGGCTACGCCACCGCAATCTGGTGCAGCTCATTGGCTGGTGCCATGGCCGCACCGAGCTGCTCCTCGTCTACGAGCTATTCCCCAACCGTAGCCTCGACGTCCATCTCCACGGCAATGGCACCTTCCTTACATGGCCAATGAGGTTTATTAATTAACTCATTGATTTAGTAATTTTCGTTATGTGCAATCGACACCTTTGAAATTCAATTCATCTGCTAACTTGGATGTTGCCACAGGATCAACATTGTTCATGGACTCGGATCTGCACTACTCTACCTACATGAGGAGTGGGATCAATGTGTAGTTCACCGTGACATCAAGCCGAGCAACGTCATGCTGGATGAATCCTTCAATGCGAAGCTAGGCGATTTCGGCCTTGCAAGGCTTATTGACCATGCCGTTGGGATACAAACAATGACTCACCCCTCAGGGACACCAGGCTATCTTGATCCCGAATGCGTAATCACGGGCAAAGCAAGCGCTGAGTCCGATGTTTATAGTTTTGGCATTGTTCTATTGGAAGTGGCATGTGGGAGGAGACCAATTAGCCTGCAGGACACCCAGAACAATTGCCTCTTCCGACTGGTGGAATGGGTGTGGGACCTGTACGGCCAAGGAGCCGTTCTCAATGCAGCAGACGAGCGGCTCAACAATGAATACGACACAACTAGCATGGAGTGTGTCATGGCTGTTGGACTCTGGTGTGCACATCCGGACCGATGTGCACGTCCATCTATCAGAGCTGCCATGGCAGTTCTCCAATCCAATGGACCACTACCCGTGTTACCAGCTAAGATGCCCGTGCCAACATATGCACCGCCGATGGCCTCAGCGGAGGGGCAGCCGTTGTCGTCCTCAAGTTTGACACTAACGTCCATCACACCTCGCTAGGTTTGCAAGTTTTCTCACTCATAGGATTTGTATAGCGAGATAATTTTTGTCATATTTAGATTTTTATCCATACCCACAAGTTGGTTTGGAGGACTCATCTTCGTTAATTGCTCCATACAGGAGTATTAGTCATGTTTAGTTCATTTTACTTGTTCTACATTTACAAGGGATATGTACAGCTCGTGAGGCAATTGGTTTGCTCTTTAGAGAGCTGCCTAATTGGCAATGTGAGCAATGTGTTTAGTTTACATGATGCTGTCTATTTTCCAAGCATTTATTTATTTTGTCCAGAAAACTTTTCCTACAATTTCCTCTGTCCAACAATCCAATCAAACAGTCCATATATCTAACTGATATTTGTTACATACTTTTCTTGTTTTCAGTCGATATCCTAGTCCTTACAGAGGGCCTGGAAATGTTGGAGTTGTAAGAAACTCAGAAATATTAACAAAACAGAAATGATCGAAGGCACCAACAGAAGAGACCTCTTGCAAGACATGTGTTCATTGTTGATAGATCTCATATGATATTCAGCTAATGCTGTCCAATGACTGCATAGATTACTACCGAAACATTGTTTTGTCCTAATTCATCCCCATCTCTGGCTGAGATCTAGAATGGTCAGGGGCGGATCCAGCAACAGAAAATTGGGGGGCCTCAAGTACGTTGTTTCTCTAACCTTTAGCCATCTAAAGACCTTTAGTTTATTATTTATGGTGAAAAAAATTAAAGAAGGTGCTCTGGGGGTATCCATGGGTCTTGTGGGTGTAGGGGGGACTCGAGTCCCCACGTTGGATCCGCCCCTGAGAATGGTTAGTTACTTAGTTCAGTCTAAAAGATCTAAATGTGTATAACATGATCACAATAATCATATAAGTATACTAAAATTCAGAACAATAGATCTCAATTTGCAGAATACTTTGGATACACTGCTGCTATGCTCTCGTTTCGTCAAGCAACCAGCGTAACAAAGATAGGTGAACTGGAACTTTTAGTGCAGTTTCGAACTGGTCATCTTCTCCAATCTTCATTACCCCGTGGAAGAACAAAGTCTTAAAGTGTAGTTTCAAAGCAAAAAAAGGAAGGGTACAATAAAGAGATTAGGATTCTCTGTACCTAGGTGTCATGACACCCAACATTTATGTGCGACTTAAATAGTTATTGAAAAAAAATAAAAAAATTAGTAACATCAATTGTGATGATATAAGTCTGTACACAAACATGCAAGTTTCTATTTGATCTACAACTAGAAAAATAAAAATAATAAAATTTGTTAATTTTATTTCTTCATGTGTCTGCTAGGGAACTCATCTTTAGTCCTTTAGTCCTGCTTCACAGCCCCTTTAATCCCGGGTTACAACCCGGGACTAAAGATGCCTATTATTAGTCCCGCTTGAAATAACCGGGACTAAAGATCTATCTTTTGTCTCGGTTGGTAATTTTTAGTTCCGCACCAACCGGACTAAAAATTGTAGCGCTAAAATTTGGACTAAAAATAAAATAAAAATCTGAAATTAGAAAAATATCAAAGAGAGTTCAAGTAGGGTTATAATTTTGAAACAACTAAAATCGAAACAATAATTAAGGAATATTAAAAGAATTATCCATATAGAACACAAAACGAGATTAATTAAAATTCTAAATAAAAATAAAATAAAATATGAAATTTAAAAAGAAAAATAAGAGTTTAGTTAGGAATACAAATTAAAAATTCATAATAAAAAATTAAATCTATTAAAAGAAGAGACCATTTAAAACACATGACGAGATCAATTAAAATTTTGAATAACAAATAAAATAAATTCCGAAAATAGAAAAATAGTTAGATGAACATTTTTTAGATGTATTTGTGAATTTGCGGTGTCCATTTGATATGTGATGTTCAATATGTGAATTTGAGTATGTTCATTCGATCTGTGAATTTGTGACGTTCATTCAACCTGTGAATAACAATGAAAAAAAGGCCAATATGCAAACAGCAAAAGACAATGAAAAAAGAAAAAAATGTTCTTACATGGACTTTTCTTTCAATATTACATATTTTAATTTCGAATTTTAGTTATTTTTTACTTTCTAGCCCACTAACCGCCATTACAGTGTTGCTTAACGACTTGCCCGTAGTTCCTCTTCTTAATCATCGTTGGGATTCTAAAAATCGAACCTAATCATCTTTTCGGTTTTGTTAATAGTTTTCATCAGATGTCCCATTAACCGTCACCACACTATTGCTTTATAGGTCTGTTGTTCCTCTTCTCTTTATTATCATTTGCTATTATTGTATTTTTTTAATGGACTATTGTTTTACAATTTTGTATTTTTTCATTCCTTTTTTATTTGAAAATTTTATTTCTACGTGAACTCTTATTTTTATTTTTCTATTTTTTGGAGCTTATTTTATTTTTTCTGAATTTTAGTTAACCTCGTATTCTATTCTACATGTATGTTCTTGCAATAATCATTTTTATTTTAAAGGAAAAGGATATAATTGGAGAGAAAAGTGAAAAGAACAGTAGAGGATAACCAGCAAAATATCAGGTTAGGAAAGGAGAAGGATAAAATTGGAGAGAAAAGGGAAAAGAACAGTAGAGGATAACATGTATGTTCTTGCAATAATCATTTTTATTTTAAAGGAAAAGGATAAAATTAGAGAGAAAAGGGAAAAGAACAGTAGAGGATAACCAGCAAAATATCAGGTTAGGAAAGGAATTGGATAAAATGGAAAAAACGAAGAGATCGATGGAATCGAACTCATGAACTATTGGTCAAATGTTTCAGTCTAACCAATTGAGAATCATCGACATTGTGCTACATTGTGTAGCTACATTTTAAAAATATGGGTAACGTTAGTGTGTCCGCCCCTGCACCCTATACATGTTGGAGCGCGGTAAAGAAAAAAAATTGGTATGGACCCGCCCACCTATCGAACCTTATCTCCTTCTCTGAAATCCTCCACCTCCGCTTCTCAGTTCTCTCTGGTCGCTTTCTCCGTCTCCCGAATCCCCGTCTCTCCTCCTTTGCCAACAGCCGAGAGTTAGAGAGAGCGCCGCGCCGCCGCCCCCGTCTCTTCTCCCACCGGTCCCTCTCTCTCCCTCTCGTCTCTCCCTTGCCGGTAGCAGAGGAGGTGGCAGCGATGGCTTCAGCTGCTCCCGCGGGCCGGATCCGGGAGTGGCGGTGGAGTCGGCGGCTACTATTGGCGGATCCGGTGACGGTGGCGGTGGCGGTGTTTCCGGCAGGCGGATCCGGCGGGCGATTCTCTACCACCTCCTCCTCACCCTCCACGCCCAAGCTTGTCCTGCGGCAGCGGCGGTGACATCGGTGCTCCCGTGGGCAGATCCAGCAGAAGTGGCGGCGGCGTTCTTTTTGGTGGGCGGATCTAGTGTCACGCAATTTCTATCCAAAATTCCAAACGCTTACATGTGTGTGAACCCTCGTCCAGGAATCAGCCGAGGCACACAATAACAAATTGATAATAGAGTACAAATATTACTCTAATTAATAAGCGAATAAAATGTCATTACAGAGGTAGATAGTTCCTCTCAATCAATAAAGTTCTAAGCAGCGGAAAATAAATAAACGGCGCAGACGGCTCCACTCCACAGGCAGCTTGACCAAGGCTACACCTAATCCTCCACACCATCAGCCTCATTGTAGAACTCTTCCTCTGATGAATGATTGCAAGGTGAGTATATGACATACTCAGCAAGCCACGCAGCAAATATGCAAGTGCACAGGATAACAAAGGATGGCATAATAGGGTTTCATTTGCAAAAGCAGCATTTAGCAAACATTTGAGAATTTAACAAAACAGTTAAGTAATAATTAAACAATATTAATCCAACGCTATACAACATACCCTGTTGTATAGGCCCAACCATTCTGAACAACCACCCCGGCTGCACAGTTCTATCTCCAAACCAGGAATGTCCCATTCCAAACCAGGAGCTAATCAAATTATTACCAGTTTAAGCATCTTTTACAATGATGAGAGGTGTGAGACTAATCACGAAAGACATTGTTAGACCCGCCCATAACCGCGGGCACGGCTATTCGAATAGTTTTACTCTGGCCAGAGGTGTACCACTGTACCCACAAGACACAACCCCACATCATGTCACCATGTGCCTCAATACCACCACGGTATCTCGGAAAGGAGTTGTGACAATACCCCTCGCATAACACAATCCACTGCAGCGCACCTTCCTGGATCATAATCACCCCCTTATAAACAAGGCATGGACTCCCCAGCGACCCCCGTGGGCTTATCTCCGCCACTTCTCAGTCTGGTGCCCCGCAATGAACCATGCTATACAAAAGATAAAGCCGTTGCCCATGCTGGCTTGTGGTTGGCACGATAAATGTTTCACAACTGAAACTCGTGAACCGGTCCTTAATTGTCATGAGCACGACCATCAAAACCATGTGCCCACAACCCACCATTATCAGGTTTTAGTTGGCACATTAATTAATTAACTAATCACGATTGACCATCGTGAACTATCAATAAGCCATCATGAAATAATAGTGAGTCATTAGTTATCCCATAAATGTACTAATGTTTCTAAGCAGGGCTAAGCAATTATATCTAATATCTAGTTGAACCAATATAAATAAAGCTCAACTAGTCAAATTAATATAACCCAAGGTATCAAGGAATAAGGTAATCAAGTACGAAAGGGCCATAACAAAGAATAGGTCAATTCCACCCAATGACATTCGAAAATAGATGCAATAGTTGAATAGAAACAATAGCTTTAAATAGGATCAACATGCTCAAAGGGTTGTTTGGGATCTGTGTGACTTGCCTTGCTGGCCTTGGAACTCTTCAAACTCTTCTTCCGCGAAAACGGACTCTCCAGAAACGACGGAATCTAAGCAAAAAGAAGCAAAATCACCAAAACAGCACATAAACAAGCATGAACAGTACATGTGGATATTTTTAATGTGTAAATCTCAATTTTAGAAAAATTTAGAGACTTGAACCAACTAAATCGGAGCTAAGATGAATTAGTTATGAATTTTTAAAGATTAAATCGGATTAAAACACTTAAATCGGTTTAAATTGAATTATGACGCAATAATGAATTATTTTTGAAAAGGAAAAGAAGGATTATTGCGTCAGCGGCTAGGGTTTCGGTGGACCGGCGCACGGGCGGCGGTTCACGCGAACGGACGGCCGAGATCTAACCGATCCAAGATGGACGGCCGAGATTGATCGAGTCCACGGCGGTTCACGGCGGACGACCCCGATGGCGTCAGCGATGACGTCACCGACGGCGGCGGCGGCTCGGCGGAGCGGACGGCTCGGGC